CTCTCCTGCCCCACCTCTCTCTCTCTCCTGCCCCACCTCTCTCTCCTGCCAGATTTAGGAGAGTGACTTGGTCCTCAGTGAGGTTGATTCCTGCAAGGTTCAGGAAGCCGTCTCTCGGTCGTGGAATTGTCATAGGTCCTCCATATAAGAAACTAACAACATTATTTGGAGGACCTATGGCAATTCCACGACCGAGAGACGGCTTCCCGAACCTTGCAGGAATCAACCTCACTGAGGACCAAGTCACTCAACTAAATCTGGGTATAAACTGTCACGTTATGTCCCAGACCGAGTGAGATGGCCCGGAAAGTGGAGTTGGAGATCCTGTTGGACGACATATTCGACCTCGAGGCACAAAAGAAGGTCACCACCAAAGATACCTTACAAGCAGAACTTATTGCAGGAGGAGGAAAGAATCGAGGTAACTACAGAAGCACCATACTGTCCCCCTGAGCTCAAAGCGGCAGCTAAGAGCCTTCGTGACAACAAGGAGATAGTCGTCAGGAGAGATGACAAGTCGCCAAAATACGTCATTCTTAAAAAAGACGAATATCTGGCGAAAATGAACCTCATACTCTCTGACCAAACTAAATTCCAAAGGGTAACGAAGGACACTACAGTCGAATTAAAAGCAAAGGTCAACAAATTGATCGAAACTGTGAACGCCAAGAAATCCGGACTCCACCTGCCAATGATTATTGGGGAATATAAACCTGGATACGCATATGGAAATGTCAAGACACACAAGCCTGGAAACCCACTTCGGCCAATCATCAGCCAGATACCCACACCCACGTACAGACTGGCGAAGCGACTCAATGGCTTGCTGACTCCTTACATCCCTTGCGCCTTCAGCCTGAAGTCTCCAAAGGAATTTGTTGACTTACTGCGGGGAACACGGGCCACAGGGATAAGAGCCTCGTTGGACATAGAATCACTGTTTACCAACGTACCTGTGGATGAAACAATCGGGATGATAGCGGACAGTGTGTATCGTGATCCAGCCTGTACTCCTCTTGACATACCAGAAAAAATTCTAAGGAAACTACTCCAAGCTTGTACTAAAGAGGCACCCTTCTTGAACCCGGATGGGCACATGTATAAGCAAGTAGATAGGGTCGCCATGGGTTCTCCCCTAGGTGTCCTGTTTGCGAACTTCTACATGGGTACCATCGAACAAAAGGTCTTAGTCGACATGAACTTGAAACCGGCCATATACTGCAGGTATGTTGACGACATTTTTACACAGGTACCTGATGTCAGACATCTGCAGGAGCTGAAGGACGCATTTGAGCAGAATTCTGTGTTGCGTTTCACTTACGAGATGGAGAAGGATGGGAAGCTGCCCTTTCTAGATGTAACAGTCATGGAAAGGAGCGGAGGTTTCCTCACTTCAGTCTACACTAAGGAAACAAACATAGGAATGTGCCTAGATGCCAACAGTGACTGTCCAGACAGGTACAAGAGGAGTGTTGTTAACACTTATGTCGACCGTGCTCTCAGCCACAGCTCAGGATGGAAGCAAGTCGATGAAGAACTCTGTAGGGTAAGGCAGGTCCTAGTCAACAATGGCTTCTCCAATGGTTTCGTTGAAGACATCATAAGAAGGAAGGTGAAACGCCATGCAACCTCTGAAGAGACAACTAACACAACACCTATACCCCCTATTAGACTATTATACAGGAACTTCTTTTTCACAGCTCATAAAACGGAGGAAAGGGTCCTGAAAGATATTGTTAATAGAAACGTTATCCCTACAGACAAAAATCAGAAGATACAATTGACGATTTACTATAAAACCAAGAAAACAGCCAACCTACTCATGAGAAACTCTCCAGACACAAAGCAGAACGCTTTAAAAGAGACCAATGTCGTCTATGCTTTCAAATGCCCACTTGGGGACTGTAAGCCTCAAAGAACTCAGTATATAGGCAAGACAACAACATCTCTTTCCAGGCGATTAACGATGCATAAGCAACAGGGCTCCATTAAGGAACATATAATCTCTTCCCACAACCAGACCATCAACAGAGAAGTCTTAACAAAAACACGGAAATCATCGATAGATACAGCGATAGCAGGTGGCTTGATATCTGCGAGGCACTATACATTAAGAAGTCAACACCAGCAATCAACAGCCAATTAATGCACAACTATATTCTACCCAGCCGGTCGGGGAGCCGGTCGGCCGAGCGGACAGCACACTGGATTTGTGATCCTGTGGTCCCGGGTTCGATCCCGGGCGCTGGCGAGAAACAATGGGAAGAGTTTCTTTCACCCTATGCCCCTGTTACCTAGCAGTAAAATAGGTACCTGGGTGTTAGTCAGCTGTCACGGGTTGCTTCCTGGGGGTGGAGGCCTGGTCGAGGACCGGGCCGCAGGGACACTAAAAAGCCCCGAAATCATCTCTAGATTACCTGAAGAAGATACCCACTTCAAGACTCCGCACCAATATAGAAGCATAAAGAAATATGGGCCAATAGGCCCTTGCAGTTACTTCCATTCTTCCCTTTAACTTACAAAATATTATACCCATTGTTTCGTGTTCTGTCTTGTGTTGAAAGTTTGTTTTCACCTCATCCAAAACTGTTGTAACATATCACCTCACCCAAATGCAGGCATAAAATGAAAGCTGTTTAAACTCTGTTTAGTGTTTGCAGGTTATAGTTGTGTGTGTGTAAACTAAAGTCTTTGAAAATGTAATAAGTTATTACGAAACGCGTTCAAGTGTCGCGTCAGACTAGAAATAAAAATGAATTTTGGAGAATTGATTTTTCAATTACCATCAACAGTGAAAAGAAACATAAGAAATATTGAGAAAATTCGTGTTAGAATATATATATATATATATATATATATATATATATATATATATATATATATATATATATATATATATATATATATATATAATATGGCAGCAATATATATGGTTGGCCTGCCATAATATGGCAGTTCTCGCACCATGCAGGGGACTTCCTTTTGGCAGTCCCTCTGTCTGCGACAGGCACACGTCTTGATCCGCAGGAGCTCCGTATTGCAGCCGCTCTCCACTTTCCTGCCCCTATCCACACTGTTCATAGGTGTATTTGCGGCATGAATGCCAATCTGGCGGTTGGCATTCTAGACATGACAGAAGTCAATGGCATCATTAAAAGGAGCCTTGCCACTGCCCAGTGTCCAGCAGAGAGGGAGCCCCGCAATCTATTGAACCATAACTATCTTTGCCGGCCGACCAGATGGAATCACGCTACGCCCGTGGAAGGGTGGCAGACAGTTGGCATGGGACTACACTTGCATATCCACCCTGGCAACCACATACATCAACCACTCTCGGCCAAGCAGACACCATAGCGACACACAGAGAAAAAGACAAGTCAACCAAGTACAGGGAAATAAATCACCGGTACAACTTCGTACCAATAGAGTCTGAGACCCTAGGCCCCTGGTTATCTTGAGGTTATCTTGAGATGATTTCGGGGCTTTTAGTGTCCCCGCGGCCCGGTCCTCGACCAGGCCTCCACCCCCAGGAAGCAGCCCGTGACAGCTGACTAACTCCCAGGTACCTATTTACTGCTAGGTAACAGGGGCATTCAGGGTGAAAGAAACTTTGCCCATTTGTTTCTGCCTCGTGCGGGAATCGAACCCGCGCCACAGAATTACGAATCCTGCGCGCTATCCACCAGGCTACGAGGCCCCAGAGGCCCCTGGGGAGAGAGTGCAAGAAGGTTTCTTAAGGATCTTGGTTCCGGGCTCATTGACACCACAAGAGACCCTAGAGCGGCAAGTTTGCTCTTTCAGCGCCTCAGTGTAGCGATCCAGAGGTGAAATGCCCGCTGCGTCCTCGGTTCCTGCCCGGCGTCGGAGGCGTTCGAAGAAATCGACAGCCTCTAGGAAACAAACGTCCCCTTATTTCCTCTTAATGTTCTCTGTTTGTAAACAATCGGAAATGTAACTGTATAACCTTGTATAATAAAGTGTACACCATTAAAAAGGGCGATGGTAGGAGAAATGAACACTCATACGTATTCAGAGTTAAATGGCAGGTTTCTGAATGCTCTGTGTTCCATTCTTTGAGGCTGTGGGTCCCTACAATTGCACCAGAGGTGGTACTACATCCTATATATATATAAATTATACATATATAGATTGATTTTAATAGATATATGGATGAGGTCACATCAAAACAGAAAATTGTGGCAAAGATTGCATCACAGAATACAATAGTAAACAATGACAACATAGAGGGTCATTATACAAGCATGGGAGCCACGAGAGGGGTGATGATCTACACAAGAGGGCGCTGGGTAATATAGAGGCCAAGGCTCACATAACACAAGAGGGCGCTGGGTAATATAGAGGCCAAGGCTCACATAACACAAGAGGGCGCTGGGTAATATAGAGGCCAAGGCTCACATAACACAAGAGGGCGCTGGGTAATATAGAGGCCAAGGCTCACATAACACAAGAGGGCGCTGGGTAATATAGAGGCCAAGGCTCACATAACACAAGAGGGCGCTGGGTAATATAGAGGCCGAGGCTCACATAACACAAGAGGGCGCTGGGTAATATAGAGGCCGAGGCTCACATAACACAAGAGGGCGCTGGGTAATATAGAGGCCAAGGCTCACATAACACAAGAGGGCGCTGGGTAATATAGAGGCCAAGGCTCACATAACACAAGAGGGCGCTGGGTAATATAGAGGCCGAGGCTCACATAACACAAGAGGGCGCTGGGTAATATAGAGGCCGAGGCTCACATAACACAAGAGGGCGCTGGGTAATATAGAGGCCAAGGCTCACATAATCAATAGGATCTGCCTCACATGCTCCAAATGAGCTTCTCTATTATTCTTTATACCCATAATTATATGTTCTGAACTATATATATGTTGCTCAAGCTTGATGTGTGTGTGATATATGAATATTACGAGGTTGGTGGTGATGTTATGGTGATGAAGGTGACTGTTGTTGATGGTGATGAAGATGACTTGTTTCAGGAGATGAGATAGTGAGAGGTGGACGCCATGGTGCTGATTAAGGAGTACCGTATCCCGCTCCCCCTCACCGTCGACGAGTACCGCGTCGCCCAGCTCTACATGATCGCTGTTAGTACTCTCTATACCTGTCTGTCTGTCTGTCTGTGGTCATGTCTCCCTGTCATACTGGTGATCTCTCACCTGTCCCGCCACCACCCTCACCTGTCACCCACACACACACCACCCTCACCCGCCCCCCCCCCCCACACACACACACACCACCCTCACCTGTCCCCCCCCCCCACACACACCACCCTCACCTGTCCCCCACACCACCTCCCTCACCCGTCCCCCACACCACCTCCCTCACCCGTCCCACACACCACCACCACCCGTCCCCCACACACACACCACCCTCACCTGTCCCCCACACCACCTCCCTCACCCGTCCCCCACACCACCACCACCCGTCCCCCACACCACCTCCCTCACCCGTCCCCCACACCACCTCCCTCACCCGTCCCACACACCACCACCACCCGTCCCCCACACACACACCACCCTCACCTGTCCCCCCCACCACCTCCCTCACCCGTCCCCCACACCACCTCCCTCACCCGTCCCCCACACCACCTCCCTCACCCGTCCCACACACCACCACCACCCGTCCCCCACACACACACCACCCTCACCTGTCCCCCACACCACCTCCCTCACCCGTCCCCCACACCACCTCCCTCACCCGTCCCACACACCACCACCACCCGTCCCCCACACACACACCACCCTCACCTGTCCCCCACACCACCTCCCTCACCCGTCCCCCACACCACCTCCCTCACCCGTCCCACACACCACCACCACCCGTCCCCCACACACACACCACCCTCACCTGTCCCCCACACCACCTCCCTCACCCGTCCCCCACACCACCTCCCTCACCCGTCCCACACACCACCACCCGTCCCCCACACACACACCACCCTCACCTGTCCCCCACACCACCTCCCTCACCCGTCCCCCACACCACCTCCCTCACCCGTCCCCCACACCACCTCCCTCACCCGTCCCCCACACCACCTCCCTCACCCGTCCCCCACACCACCTCCCTCACCCGTCCCACACACCACCACCCGTCCCCCACACACACACCTCCCTCACCCCTCCCCCACACCTCCACCTCCCATTGTTTATAAAGAGTAATGCTGCATGTGTACATGTAATATGATAATACTCTGATTGCACTCTCTGTAATAATTTTCATCTTAACTTTAAGATTATATATATGATTCATAATGTAGTATTGTGTGCACTTATTAACTCTTAAGATAATACAATGAATGATATACTTTCAGACATATATAGTGTCTTTTGTTGTTAATATAATTATTTGTGCTGTGTCTTTGCATGATGCCTGCCTGGGTTCACTTTGGGTATAGCATATATATATGATTTAGCTATTGTCTTTGTCAATATTATTGCATGTTTGTGTCTGGGCTGTAGCGTAAGCCAGATTATCCATTAGGCATAGTGCCTAGGGCCTGTGGGATAGGCCTAGGCACAGTAGGCATAGTGCCTAGGGCCTATGAGATCGGCCTAGGCACAGTAGGCATAGTGCCTAGGGCCTATGAGATAGGCCTAGGCACAGTAGGCATAGTGCCTAGGGCCTATGAGATAGTGGGGCCTATTAAAGTAAAAGAAGCAGTTTTCTTGCTCCTTTTCTACAGGATATTATTAAGTGATACCGGGGATGCTTTTTTTCCATCTATTTATTTATTATTTACTTGATTAATTTGCATACTATTCTATTAAGGCGTATTTTGGCCATAGATGGTAGCAAAATAGTATAAGAAAATTGTTTGAAGATTACAGAAAATATTCATCATTTTTCAGTTGAATAATGCATAGTTTTTTCTCAAATATTCTATACAACATAATGAGTAGGCAATGTTTACAACATATTCAATATGCCAAGGCAAATGCTTCTGAAAATTGACCCACAGGTTTTAAGTTAAAATATTTATTAGATCAAAACATTATGGATTTTTCAAGTGATTTTTTTTGTATTATGTCATTAATTATAACTAAAAGTTCACACACAGAGGATAGCATGGAAATTAGTGAATTCCAAATATGCCAATATGAGGCTATGTTTAGCATCCCAATAAACAACATGGAAGTTAAAGCTCCAGACAGCTTCTTTATGAATGATATCTAAAACCAAGACAATACAGTATAAATAATATTAACATAAACACACAAGACTGAAAAAGAAATTGACAACATACCCATTCACTCGGCTCCAGGTCCTGACTCAAGAAGTTCAATATTCACAAAGAAATGTAAAGCAGCAATATCACAGACACTCAGCGTAATATGAAGAAAGACCCCTAGATACAGGGGAGATACCAGCAGCACTTAAATCAGCAGATTTAACTTTTCTGCACAAGGAAGGTAGTAAACCTTTGGCAAAAAATTATATACCAGTTGAACTAATATCACACACAAAAGTTTTTGAAAGAGTGATTAGGAATCAAATCTCCAGTTTTATGAAAAACAATGAACTTTACAACATGGATTTAGAGCAGTAAGATCATGTGTCAGTTACTCAACCATTACAACAAAATCACAGAAGCATTAGAAGATAAACAAAATGCAGATGTTGTATACTCAGACTTTGCAAAGGCATTCAACAAATGTGATGATGGAGTGATAGCCTATGAAAGGAGATCAATAGGAATAACGGGTAAAGTGGGGCATTGGATTTTCAACTTTCTGTCAAACTGAATGCAGGGAGTAACAGTCAATCAAATAAGATCAAAGCCAAGTGCAGTGAAAAGCTCAGTACCCCAGGGCACAGTCTTTGCACCACTGCTGTTTCTCATTCTTATCTCGGATATAGACAAAAATACTAATCAAAGCTTTGTGTCATCCTTTGCAGATGATACAAAAATCAGCATGAAAATTTTCTTTATAGAAGACATTAAACAACTACAATATTTGGGGCATTCACGGAAACTCATACAAAAGATTACATGGATGGTGAAATCTGGAGTCTGAATTATAATTTATATAGATGTGATAGAAAAACTAGATCAAATGGAGGAGTAGATCTGTATATTAAAGAGGACCTGGTATGCACAGAACTACTAAACTCAACTAATGAGGTGGTAGAGGTACTTGGAATTAAGGTAGAGAAACTAAACCTAATTATTATTCTAATATATAAACCACCAGATACAACAGTTGAGGAATTCATAGAGCAGATGCACAAAATAGAGAACATACTTGATAACCTAGCAAACCCAGCTCCAGATATTATCTTCCTTGGAGATTTCAATTTACCGAGTCTAAGATGGAGAATGGCAAACACAAATATCATAGCAGGGAATGACCTGGGAAATAACCAACCACAGGTCAGAGAACTTTTGAGATTGTGACAAATTCTTGCTCAATCAACAGATTACAGAACCAACTAGGAACGAAAACATACTAGACTTGTTATTCACAAACAATGATGAACTAATCAGAAACATTACAATCTCAGATAATTCATACTCAGACCATAAGCTCATTGAAGTGCGAACTAGCATAAATAACGGTAGTAGGTCTAAGAGACCCAACAAGTGAGAAGGAGTATTCAATCAATTCAATTTCAACAGTAAGAGGATCGAGTGGGAAAAAATATATGTAGACCTTGCAACCATTCAATGGGAGATGGTGCAGTCTTAGAATTTCACTAATCTCCTTGTTGTCCTCTGTGTACGGTCTTAAGTGACAAAACTCCCACACAGGGAATAGCTCAACTGACAGCTGAAGCTTACAAGGTCTGCTTGAAGCACGTGCCTGTGAGGAGGGGCAGAAAGAGGACCACTCTAGAAAGAGAACGCAGACGACTGTACAGGAGAAGGAAAAAAATAACAGAAATGCTTCGGCAAACACAACTATCACAAGCAAGGAAAATAAGCCTAAGCAGGGAGATCGAAGAAATAGAACAAACGTTGAAGCGATCATATGAGTCTGAGGAAATGGAATTGGAACAGAAAGCTATACAAGAGATAAAGAAAAATCCGAAATATTTTTTCACATGTGCAAAATCAAAATCAAAAACCTCGACCAGTATTGGACTGTTAATTACAAATGAAGGTACGGACACAGAGGACAACAAGGAGATTAGTGAAATTCTAAGAAGACAGTATTTTATGTTTAGCACACCAATAAACAACATGAAAGTTGATGACCCAGACAGCTTCTTTATGAATGACATTCAAGCTGCAGATAATATCACGGATATTACCACAAACTTGGAAGATTTTGAAAGAGAAATTGACAATATGCCCATGCACTCAGCTCCTGGCCCTGACTCATGGAATTCAATATTCATAAAGAAATGTAAAGTACCAGTAGCGAGAGCACTCAGCATAATATGGAGAAAGAGCCTAGATACAGGGAAGATACCAGCAGCACTTAAATCTGCAGATATAGCTCCGTTGCACAAGGGGGGAAGTAAAGCCTTGGCAAAAAATTATAGGCCAGTTGCACTAACATCACACATAATAAAAGTGTTTGAAAGAGTGATTAGGAATCAAATTTCTAGTTTTATGGAAAACAATGAGCTACACAACCCAGGACAACATGGATTTAGAGCGGGAAGATCCTGTCTGTCACATTTACTCAACCACTATGACAAAATCAAAAGAAGCTCTAGAAGAAAAGCAAAATGCAGATGTTGTATACACAGACTTTGCAAAGGCATTCGACAAATGTGACCATGGGGTGATAGCTCACAAAATGAGGTCATTGGGAATAACTGAAAAAGTAGGACGCTGGATACTCAATTTTCTGTCGAACAGAACATAAAGAGTAACAGTCAATCAAATAAAATCGAGTCCAAGCGATGTTAAAAGCTCTGTACCTCAGGGTACAGTTCTTGCACCACTGCTGTTCCTTATTCTCATATCAGATATAGACAAAAATACAAGTCACAGCTTCATGTCATCCTTCGCAGATGACACAAAAATCAGCATGAAAATTACCTCTGCTGAAGACATTGAAAAATTACAAGTAGATGTCAACAAAGTTTTCGATTGGGCAGCAGAAAATAACATGATGTTTAACAGTGATAAATTTCAGGTACTCAGGTACGGCAAAAATGAGGATCTGAAACATAATACAGGGTACAAAACACAATCGAATCTTCCCATAGTAGAAAAACAGCATGTCGAGGATTTGGGAATAATGATGTCTGACGATCTAACATTTAGGGAGCATAACCAAGCAAATATTGCGTCAGCCAGGAAAATGATCGGATGGATTACGAGAACTTTAAAATCCAGGGATCCCATCACAATGGTTGTACTCTTCAAGTCACTTGTGTTGTGTCGTCTCGAGTACTGCTCAGTACTCACTTTCCCCTTCAGAGCAGGAGAGGTTGCTGAAATAGAGGGAATACAGAGAACATATACAGCACGCACAGACGAGATAAAACACCTAAATTATTGGGATCGTCTCAAATCTCTTTAAATGTACTCTCTAGAAAGGAGACGAGAGAGATACCAAATAATATATACATGGAAAATACTGGAGGGCCAGGTCCCAAATCTACACAGTAAAATAACAACATACTGGAGTGAACGATATGGAAGAAAATGCAAGATTGAACCAGTGAAGAGCAGAGGTGCCATAGGCACAATCAGAGAACACTGTATAAACATCAGAGGTCTGCGGTTGTTCAATGTCCTTCCAGCGACTATAAGAAATATTGCCGGAACAACCGTGGACATCTTCAAGAGAAAACTGGACTGTTTTCTAAAAGAAGTTCCAGACCAGCCGGGCTGTGGTGGGTATGTGGGCCTGCAGGCCGCTCCAAGCAACAGCCTGGTGGACCAAACTCTCACAAGTCAAGCCTGGCCTCGGGCCAGGCTTGGGGAGTAGAAGAACTCCCAGAACCCCATCAAGCAGGTATCAATCAGGTACAAGCTAAGCAAATATAGTGGGGGCCAAGAAAATGATAGCATGGATTATGAGAGCTTACAAATCCAGATACCCCACAGCAATGCTAATACTATTTAAATCATGGGTGCTGTCCCCGTTTTCAGTGTTGCTCGCTCTCCCTTTCAGAATAGGAGAGATTTCTAAAATAGAGGAAATACAGAGGAGTAGTGAGGAGTAGAGGTGCCATAGGCACAATCAGAGAGCACTGTCTGAACATCAGAGGTCCACTGCTGTTCAACTCCCTTCCAGCAAGCATTGGAAATATTGCCAGAACAAAGGTGGATGTATTCACGGCACACTGCACATAGATAAATTCTTGCAAGAAGTGCCAGACCAACCAGGTTGTACTGGATATGTTGGCTTGCAAGCCACTTCAAGCAACAGTCTGTTGAACTAAGTTATCACAAGTCAAGCCTGGCCTCATGCAGGCCTCGTAGAGTAGACGAACTCCTGAAATCTCTTCAAGTATACTCCAGGAATACACGAGGAAAAAAAAATAAATTACCAGTCATCTCCCAGTATTTACCATCTAGCTCTACTTCTTGTAAACGAAACTATTTCTGTTCTGTACAGGAACAGCTGATCTAACCTGTTTTCTTAAGCCAATTTTCTTTTACTCAAAAATCATGCCAAACATCAGTGAATTTTTTATTTTTTACAACATCACTTTTTATAATTCGGTACTGGCTTTTGTCATTAGTAAATATGCTGTCAAATCTGGCCCCTTTATCTTGAAAGTGCCTAAGGCTTATGAAAGTGTCAATCTAACTCCCATATCTTGAAGGTGCCCAAGGCCTATGAAAATGTTAATCTAACCCCCATATCTTGAAGGTGCCTAAGGCCTATGAAAATGTTAATCTAACCCCCATATCTTGAAGGTGCCCAAGGCCTATGAAAGTGTTAATCTGGCACGTGGCTGTAGCATGTTTTGTATGGCTTCTAAGAGTGTTGTGTGTAAACATTAGTGAGGCTTCCTGGGGCACTCTTACCTCGCGACACACTCGGCTCATAACGCCACTGTTATCTTGCTAACCCACAGCTCTCATTACTTGAGGCTTCACACTGGAGATTAATTCTTCATATTTGGTGTTAGCAGTTATCAATTTAATCGGTAAAAGTGTAGCAATAGCTCACTAGTAAGTATTTGAATATTCACTGATAATGTTGCCTTATCAGTGTACCTAATATTGCTTTATAAGAGCTAATTTGTTTGATGTATGTTGGGAAAAATCAAAGGGCATCAGTTCCTCCTTATTTCAGTTGGAAGCACAGTGAAATATATTTGGATTATGGAATATATTTATCCTCTGAAATTGTGCAATATTTGATGATTGAGCCAACAAGATGGTTCAGTGGGTGGAGTACCGCATCCCACTTCCACTCACTGTTGCTGAGTACAGGATTGCCCAACTCTACATGTTAGCGGTGAGTAGCCAAACTTGAGCCCAGGGAGCTTGTTTCCTACTGTGCAGGACACCTGTCACTCTACACTCTACACTTAGCTGCTAGTGCTCAGTAATACTGTGCAGGACACCTGTCACTCTACACTCTACACTTAGCTGCTAGTGCTCAGTAATACTGTGCAGGACACCTGTCACTCTACACTCTACACTTAGCTGCTAGTGCTCAGTAATACTGTGCAGGACACCTGTCACTCTACACTCTACACTTAGCTGCTAGTGCTCAGTAATACTGTGCAGGACACCTGTCACTCTACACTCTACACTTAGCTGCTAGTGCTCAGTAATACTGTGCAGGACACCTGTCACTCTACACTCTACACTTAGCTGCTAGTGCTCAGTAATACTGTGCAGGACACCTGTCACTCTACACTTACCTGCTTGTGCTCAGTAATACTGTGCAGGACACCTGTCACTCTACACTTAGCTGCTAGTGCTCAGTAATACTGTGCAGGACACCTGTCACTCTACACTTAGCTGCTAGTGCTCAGTAATACTGTGCAGGACACCTGTCACTCTACACTTAGCTGCTAGTGCTCAGTAATACTGTGCAGGACACCTGTCACTCTACACTTACCTGCTTGTGCTCAGTAATACTGCTTTGCATATTTGAATGGGAATGATATTTTTCATCCATTTACCATGCTTAAATTCCTGTATATTGCTAGTGCATAATTTCAGATGAGCTGATAAGTTACTATAGGTTCTAAGTTTGCCTTTTGTACTATATTAGCTGATTTTAACTCGTGACAAGCAAAAAAAACCTATTTGTATCAATAAGTACAGTATCTCTGAATCATTTACAAAAGGAATACCAATTAAATTATTTCATAAAATGTAAAATGGATTCAATAATTTAATATTAGTCTGTCATCTTTCAGTGTACAGTACTTCAAAAACTCAAGTGCATATCATCTATGTAAAAATAACACAACCTGTTATTCATTAGCAAAGACTATATTATTTCACATTTTTTTAATTTTTGCATTGATTTCTGGAGGGAGCCACGTCAGCTCCCCGGAGCTATCCAGGCTGAATGGATATGTATAACTTTCTGGCATCAGTCAAAGTGCTAGGAGTTCTTGCCTACCGGGGACCACGAGCCAGAACCTGGCCCCCTCAGAGAGGCACGAGGAGCAATGGCCTATAGAAACCCCCCTGTGGTTGGGAGCATTCTTTGTCTGCCATCGACCAGGGACAGGCACCCAGAAAGGTAGGCGCCCCAAAACAAACCCCTATTCTGGTGAAAATATTGCTACTAAAAGCTAAGAGTGGACAGAACTCCCCAAACAAACTTATCAAACTAGCATGACGTCATCACGTTGTCGAGCTGCCGTCTGCGCAACTCCCTCCTCCCCCCCTTCCTTGAAAGGGGAAAGGGTGAGCCCCAGACCCTCTGCACCGGCAATCCAACATTGATCATTGTATCATTGCATGAACATTGCAGTAATATTGAATAATATTACTGCAAATTATTTTAGAAAAAATCAGAGACATTGAAATAATGACGTAATAATATCTTTGCGTCAGCTCCAACCTGACAGCTGGGGCGGCGCAGACCTTGTCTGGTGCCTGCTCTGTTAACGCCTCTTTTCTGGGGGGGAGGCCCGTTGGCTTCCCGGAGCTATTCAAGCTGATAGGGATAGTCCTAACTTTTGGCATCAGTCGATGTGGGTGGAGTTCTAGGCCTACCAGGGACCACGACCAGAACCTGAGCCCTCTCAGAGAGGCACAAGGAGCAATGGCCTATAGAAATGCACATGGGATTTTGGAGCATTCAGTATGTGCCATCAACTGGGACAGGCACCCAGAAAGGTAAGCGCCTCAAAACAAACCCCTATTCTGGTGTGTTACGGCCCTACTGGGACGCAACCGGGTTCTTTTCTGATGGTAATAGTTTTTTGGGTATCCGGCCCCAAGTTAGTAGAAACTTTCAAGGGGTGAGCTCCGTAACGCAAGTTAAAACAACAGGGGAGGTACATTAAATACACAAGTATACTAATTTATATATTATATATATATATATATATATATATATATATATATATATATATATATATATATATATATATATATATGTTTCATTGAATATGACCGCATATTCTGTATTTATTATTTTCTGGTTTAGGGCTTCTATCCCTCTAACTATTTTCTTAGCATCAGGGCTTAATTGAAATAGGAGTTCTCCAAAACTCATTTTCGTACTTTTAAGGTGAAGAAAAGAAGTGATTTACTATAGAGTGTATTACACTTATTTGTATAATTTGCACGACGTTTCGAACCTCCATGGTTCATTCTCAAGTGAACAGATCTTACAATACTAGTTGATTTTATACCCGCATTAGGTCAGGTGATGATACAATGAAGGTGAAAACATGGGGGGATACATAAGGGATAAACATAGGGGCTGCAGAAGGCTTATTGGCCCATACGAGGCATCTCCTATCTAAACACAAAGATTAATCCAGTGTAATTGGCCTGTTATGTTGGACATTGTCTTCTGTGTTGGCATCGATATGTTCTTGTCTTGTCCTTACTCTCATGGTGGGTAGAGTAAATAGTTCCGTGATTTGGGTGTTCATGGTAGGTCGCTCTATTCTTATGTGAATTGCCTCAAGAATTTGTAATCTTCGAAGATTACAAATTCTTGAGGCAATTCACATAAGAATAGAGCGACCTACCATGAACACCCAAATCACGGAACTATTTACTCTACCCACCATGAGAGTAAGGACAAGACAAGAACATATCGATGCCAACACAGAAGACAATGTCCAACATAACAGGCCAATTACACTGGATTAATCTTTGTGTTTAGATAGGAGATGCCTCGTATGGGCCAATAAGCCTTCTGCAGCCCCTATGTTTATCCCTTATGTATCCCCCCATGTTTTCACCTTCATTGTATTATCACCTGACCTAATGCGGGTATAAAATCAACTAGTATTGTAAGATCTGTTCACTTGAGAATGAACCATGGAGGTTCGAAACGTCGTGCAAATTATACAAATAAGTGTAATACACTCTCTAGTAAATCACTTCTTTTCTTCACCTTAAAAGTACGAAAATGAGTTTTGGAGAACTCCTATTTCAATTAAGCCCTGATGCTAAGAAAATAGTTAGAGGGATAGAAGCCCTAAACCAGAAAATAATAAATACAGAATATGCAGTCATATTCAATGAAACATGTTTGAAAGAAAACCTGCTGCCAGTATACACCAATATATATATATATATATATATATATATATATATATATATATATATATATATATATATATATATATATATATATATAATATGTGTCGTACCTAGTAGCCAGAACGCACTTCTCAGCCAACTATGCAAGGCCCGATTTGCCTAATAAGCCAAGTTTTCATGAATTGTTTTTCGACTACCTAACCTACCTAACCTAACTTAACTTTTTCGGCTACCTAAACATAACCTAACCTATAAAGATAGGTTAGGTTAGGTTAGGTAGGGTTGGTTAGGTTTGGTCATATATCTACGTTAATTTTAACTCCAATAAAAAAAAATTGACCTCATACATAATGAAATGGGTAGCTTTATCATTTCGTAAGAAAAAAAATAGAGAAAATATATTAATTCAGGAAAACTTGGCTTATTAGGCAAATCGTGCCTTGCATAGTAGGCTGAGAAGTGCGTTCTGGCTAATAGGTACGACATATATATATATATATATATATATATATATATATATATATATATATATATATATATATATATATATAAAATTCCCACCACCATGTATAAATTAAAGTCACAAAAGGGCATTATTCCTACACAGTATATACATCTTCGTCTTCCTCCGAAGACACTGGACACTCGGCGATGCTCACTCTGGGTAGCCTTTCCTGGTTTCCTCTTCCATGGCCCAGAACCCACGATGAATCCACCCTGGCCACAGGCCAGCCAAATCACAATCCCACTGGGTGCCTCGTGGTGATGGCCTACAACCACAGTCCAGCCTGTAGCTGGCAGGTACTAGTCAGCCTCGCTGTTAGGCCACTCCACGACTAATACTAGGGCTGCGAGCCCTAGCCAGGAGCCTCGTGTGACTCGCTGGTCACTCTCCTCGGTTGGCACCGCAGTGGGTGGTCTCTTCCACCAGCACGCCCCGGATACGGCGAATCCCGTTACTGCCACTCCTCAGGCAGGCAATCACACACTCAGCAGAGTTCGTCCGGGGGTGGCTCACAGCTTCTATAAAGCAGACTGGTGAAGAGACCTTGGCTACCTTGGGTAGACTGATTCAACGTACCTCACAGTCGTCCTAGGTTGACTCTGAAAGTAGACACGTCATCAGTACTGGGGACACTACATGGGACCACTTAGGAAACTTCACTTACTAGCTTAGACCCAAACGTCCACCTCTTTGCTTCATAGATGGTCTTCACTGTCTAAGCGCCACCTCACCAGAGGTCAGCAGCGGCTACGTCACGAGCTGACTAGGACAGGCACCCAACACTTATTGCCGGCATCTCCCGTCATCAGTAGACGGCGTTGTCCATGTTGTGGGATTTTCGGGAGCGGACTCATAGATGGCGTGGTCTTCACGGCTTCGTGCTTGGGCAAGGAATTTTGGTTCGTAACATGGTGAAACCAACGAAAATAACGAAACAAGTGGACAGAATTCCCCCAAGTGAAAACGAGCAAATGAGCATGATGTCACACGAGCCGTGCCTGTATGTCTGCGCAGCTCCTCCCTCCCCGGGAGGGGGATAGGGGAGCCCCAGATCCCCCGTGCCAGCGATCTACACCTCAGTTCCTTGGCTGATGGGATAAGGCTTGGTCGTTGTGGCTCCAGCTCCAGATTCTTTTTGTTCTGTGCCTGGGTTCTGTACTTCTCTTCAGTGGTGTGCGAGCTGGCAGTATTATTTCTGGATACTCAGGCTGCATACTCTTGGGGCTCCCTTCTTTAAGTGCCCTGTAAGTACCGCCCCA